ACACCCTGCCTGGCCGTGCCCCGCCTCGGGAAACAGAAACCCCATTTCTTACCAACGGTCCTGGGCCTTCCAAGCAGCGCGAGGCAGCGGTCTGCAGGTAAAACTGCTGCTGCATCATTTGAAATGCAGAAACAATTTTTGTGCTGATGTAAACTGGTTCAGATACACCAGTTGCAGTGGAGCGGAGATGTTTTGCATCAGCAGTGTTTATTCTCAAAGTTAAAAAAAATAACATTACGTAGCAAAGATGAATAAACCCCAGCAAGCTTTGAAGTGTCAGAACGTGTTATTATATGAAAACCAAGCGCTTTTCTGCAGCGCTCTGCTTTACCGTAATTAAAATCCGTTGGTTTGGAAGCACAGCCTGTCACTGGGTGTCTGCTGTGCTGATCTCTGTGACAGGCGAGGCTGCTCCAGCGCTGGAGAACACCAGCTGGAGTTGGGACACAACCCACCGGGCTTTGCCCTCCTGATGATCCGGGGGCGTGCTGAGGTGCGAGATGAAGAGCAGCACCTTCTCCCTCCTCACGCCCCGGGACCTCGCGGCAGCCGACACAGGGACGGTGCTTTGCACAGGGTGGGTCCTCATCCGAACCGGAGCATTTCACCCCAAATCCTTTCTCCTGCCCCAGCACCCATGGGCAGGGTCCCCACGGCACAGGGGCCACCCTGGGGGTTCCACAGAAGTCCCGTGAAGGGGAAGTGTGTGTTTGCTCTCTCCCGGGCTTGACGCGTATTTGCTCGTACCTTCCTCCGCGTCCTGCTCAGCCAAACAGAGCGCTCCTTCGCCTTGACTCATCGGTGACCGAGTCCTACGCAAACCTCCCGCCGGAGAGACCGTGCTGCGCCCCAGGGATCCCCACCTTCTTGCCACGGCATGGTCACGGGGAGCCCAGGGCATGGTAAGGGGTCCAGACCACCACCTCACAAAAAAACCCTCTTTTCCTCTCATGAGAGCATTTCTGAAGCCACCCTTTCGTTGCTTTACCCTGACTGCTTGCTTTAAAACTGATTGATAGGTCTTTTTCTCAAATCAGTGTGTCTGTCACTATGGCAAATGTTTTAATAAGTATTTGTATTTAAAGTGCTGAAGGCGGTGCGGGGTTTTTAGAATTAAGATCTGGCTGGTGTGTGGCGGTTCCTCCTGGGAGCCCGGGTGGGCTGGGGGCTGTGCCTGGGGTTATTGTGGCCAGGGGGAGTGCTCCTGGCGGGACGGTTTTGTCTCCTACAGCGTGAGCGCGGATACGGGCTGCAGGTAACTTCGGGGAGTTTTGTGTTTGCTCTACTTTATTCTGCCTCACGATCTGCTTTTGAAATAAGACGCAGTGCTCTGAGAGCATCGACAAATTCTCCGACAACTTTGAAAACACTTGAAAGTGATCATGCGATTTGCGGAGACTCTCTGTAGCAGGTTTTGTGGCGGCCGCCTTGCTGTGCTTTCAGAGCTTAGATTTAGCTTGATTTCAGTTTTAACCTATATCCACTTTTCTAATGTTCTGTTTCCCCCTGCTTTCTAACTGTTTTGCTAACATTTTAGCCAAGGGCTCTCTCAGGAAGCTTTAACTTTTTTTTAGGTGGATGTGTTTGCCCGGGGAGGCAGAGGAGCGAGCACTCCGACCCTGCTCTAGTTCTTCCCCTGCAGCACAAGAGCAAGTTTTTTTCTTAACCAACTTTTAGAAAGAAAGAAAACTTGTCCTGGGGCAAACTGCCGCTTGGAGCAGCTCCCTAGAAAGGGTTGCTCCGCACAGGGTGCCGGTTGCACAGCTCACTTCCAAGCTGAAAGGAGCAGCTCTTTGGAGCCGAAGGGCAAAGGCGGCAGCCGTGCCCACGGGTGCTCTGGTGCTGGCGGCAATACGAAAGCGTTGCAAAAGCAAACGCATTATTTATTAAATAGACATAAATAGCAGAACTGGGGACTGGAGAGCCATGCTCGGGCTAATGAGAGCCTCTCCCGCTCCCGTCACTTTTGGGGCTGGGCTCGGGGCACTCGGTTGTATACGGGGTGTGGGCTGGGGTTGAGTAAACCAGACGGAGTGTTCTTGCATCAGGGGAAGTTAACGGCAAAAGTGACTTTAAATTTGTGAATTTGGCTTTCGCAGCTGTTTTATCCTCAACTTGACTGTGCTGTTCCCTTGGCTTTCATATCAGCGAGGACTCATCAGCTGTAGCTGAGCCCTCCTTTCTCAGAAGGGCTTTTTGTAGAAAGCAGAAGAGACATGTAAAGGGGCAGGAGCAGAAATGCGCCATCCCTGCAGGAGTGGCTGCAAGCTCTGGCTCCTCTGTCTTGATGCAGGACACATGCCCTGTCCCGGCCTCCTGCGCCACGCAGCTCTGGTGCTGAGTGACCAGCAAAACCGCCTGAGGCATGCAGTGAAAGATTTGGTCGGTTTAAAACCCCCACGTTCTCTCCTGGCTTCTTAACGAATTCCGGATAACGCTGTCAGAGCGTGGCCGTGTTGCTGCCAGTGAGTTCACCCTTTCTCAGTCTCGGCGGCTGACTTCTGCCTTAGTGATGAGTGAGGAGACCACGGGACAGGGTTGGGTAACGGGGAGGCAGATGACTTCCAGCAAGGGCTGTGACAAAGTGGGGACAGGCCAGTTTCACTTTCCCAGCCTCTGGCAGTGCTACGGGCAGCTGGCACCTTGTGGCAGATGCCTTCAGGTGATGCTATTTCTTCAGATGCCTCAGACAGGTTCTTGCTCAAGCACGTTTTCGTCTTGCTCAGTAACCCTGGTCAATAGCTGAAAGTAGAAATCTTGCGTGCATGAGGGATATTGCTCAGGTTTGAATCTCTACTTATCACATCAGCTGTAAGCATGCCTGGTTTTATATTGTTGCTGTAGCAGTTGAATTTGCATGCAACGATCTTTTACAGGTTTTTGGTGTTTGTTTTTTTTCCTTTTGACTCTCCAGGCTGCAAATGAGACAGATGGCTGCTTGCTGGTGAACCGAGCCCTAGAAAAGTATTATCTTTCCACCATGTACAGCCTGGAGTTCATCATAGGCATCATTGGAAACGCCATTGCCGTGTTTGGCTATATTTTCTGCCTGAAAAACTGGAAAAGTGGCAACATCTACCTGTTCAATTTATCCTTATCGGATTTATTATTTC